ATGTGTGCATGTGTGCATGTGTGCGTGTGTGTATGTGTGCGTGTGTGTATGTGTGTGCGTGTGTGTGTGCTTGCTTAGTAGCAGTGAAGTAGCGTAGACATATTTGCACGCACACACCTCGTTCGCCTCTTGGACGCATTCTGCTGATAAATGCTAAACTGAGCATAAATTAGTCAAAGTAAGGTTTTGTTTGACAAATCACTACTTTATTATTAATAATAATTTGTAGGGTTAACGTTTCACTTTATTTTTTATCTCGTTAACCTTTTTTTGATTTTTGCATATTTAATTTATATTCTCGTAATCTTCACTATGATAATGTCTTTCTCACGTATTCAGAAAAGAATCCGTGTATTATCTCGTCATTCAAATTTTGATTCTCATTATTTATTTAGAATAAAGTAAGAAATTAAATAAATCATATTGCCAATTTTGTTTTAATTTTTACTTTTGTTATCTTACAGATTCGTTGCTATTTTTTATTTTTAATCATTTACGTTGCAACTAACTAACTAACTAACTAACTAACTAACTAAGTAAGTAAGTAACTAACTAACTACACCTCCACTTTCTATCCATGCAGGGATAAAGGCTAGCAGTCATTGGCTGATGTTGCTATCGATGTGTACATTTTTTTAAACGTTTACTTTGTCTGTAAATGTATGCGTACGTATGTATAATTATTTTAAGGATTAAGCACATATTTATATTATTAATTTAGCATTCAAATATCGAACAATCAATTAACTAATAGTAGCACATTTGAATGTACGTAAATTAATATCTACACGTATATATGTTTGCGAGTTTTTTTCTTTTTTTTTGATTTTGCATTGTTTTATGAGCATTATTATCAGTTTTTAATGTCATATTCTATCAGTTTAGCACGCTAGTAGTTAGTGTCAAAGTAGCATACTGTAAATCAACATGGCATTATTAAATGGCAGGCACTTTTTCTTTATCACACTTGTTCATTTTTATATGAAATATATACTTAAAGTGCGCAGAACGTTTTGTTATTTATTAAATTAGCTAAATTGAGCTTAAAATGAATAAATTTTTTTCATTTATCTCATTGTTAGTCATTATTTATGTCTGCGCAATTACGATTACGTCACCACAAATAGACTAGTTGCCATCACAAATTATCGCTAATTATTGTTGTGACGCAGTATACATACATAACGTTGTGCTGCAAGTTTACATAATCAGTAATGGCAGTTAGTAGTTGCGCAACTGTTTCCACGTTGTGCAATGACTTCTCTTAGGTAGTAGCATGAATTCCCGGATAGTAATTACTTTTTCTGCTTATTTTTCTTACTTTCCACTCAAGAACTCAGTATTTTCGTAAATATTGTCTCGTATTTTATCCTTTCAATATCAGTTTGTTATACGCAAAATCATGCGTGAGAAATATTACTGAATAATGCTAACATGATGAGATGTAGAAAAGTTCTGTAAGTGAAAACGTGGACAACTTTAATGTAATGTGATTGTGTTGTGCCCTGCGTTTCTTTGCCATTGTGAGCTATTTATTGCAATACAAAATTTTTTAAAGCATACGTGATGTTTGCGATTCTACGTGAGTTGCATGAAGTAAGTGTATAATATGAAGAGGACATGCTAACTTATCTGAAGAAGAACAAGCACTAAGAAAGGTTATATATAGTCAGTTAGTAGCAGTCATGCAAAGCATTGATTTTTGGTGCAGTAGACATGTTGAAGGATAGGTGTAAGGATGGACTGATGGATGAATAGATAGATAGGTGGACAGATAGATAGATAGATAGATAGGTAGATAGATAGATAGATAGATAGATAGATAGATGGATAGTTGGATAGATAGATGGACAGATGCTTGTGTAGTAATCTCAGATGCTTCCTCCACCGGATTACTTAGAGTAAAGGAAGAAAAAGTCATGTCTAAAAAAATACTTGCATGCATGTGTGCACGCGTAAGTGTGCCGTATGTGTGCGTCTTTTTTTATAAGTGCGTTTATTACTACAATATTTGAGCATTTTCACGTATGAGCGTGTATATTACACAAATTTATAAGTTTTGATTTAGTTGTTTCCTGGTCACTATAATGTTGCTCTTAAAATTTTGATTGTTATTCACAAATATTTACTGATTTATTTTTTGGTAAATTTAAGAATGGACCGTAAAGTTTTGTTTTATTCAAACTTTCAGTGATTAATCATAATGAAGTGGTAGCTATTTTGACTTTTACATTAGTAATAAAATTATTAGCTGCTGTATTTTTCTAATTTTTGTAGTAATAAATAATTAATGCTGTATTATGTATGTATAAAGATTTATTACAATTCATATGAATGAGACTGTTGGAAGTGTTAGTCATTCTTGCAAAATTAATATTTGGTATTGCATCTGCTTATTTGCGTGGAATCTCCGGTTGAAAAATTGTGTACTTTGAATTATGCAAGTGCGTGATGTTTATGCTAATAATTATCATTGTTTTAATGATAAGTTTTTTCATACAGATCTCAAAAAAAAGTGAGGTAAATTTAAAATGGCCCTGCCAAGATTGCGTGCTAATGCAAGTAATGAAGAAAGAATGGTCCATCCAAATCGTATGATTTATCAAAAAATGGAACATTTGGTGCAAACAATGTTGGATCCTGAAAATGGTGTACCTATCAAAACTGTTAAAAGTTTTCTCACAAAGGTACTAGTAAATTTTCGTTCCTTCATATCTCTTTGATTATTGTTTATAGCTGGTAACAAGTTTTGAAACTAATAATGTCTTTCGTTATGATTAATTTAATTAGAGCTAAAATTTTCCACAGAATAATGTTGTTGTATTAATTTGCTCTCAAAATATGAAAAAACTGTAACTGCAATGTAACATGGTAGATAATTAATTTTTATCACAAAAAAAAACTTGTTATTTTCAACTTTTTAGTGTGAAATAATGTGGATGGCATATATATTTAGAAAATTTTGTTATTTTTTGAAGCCTTTGAAACTATTTTTCTTTAACATTTTCTGTTCAAGATTCCTTCCGTATTTACTGGTCAAGATCTTATTGCATGGATTATGAGAAATATGAATATGACTGATCTCGGTATGATTTTTCATCCTCTCGTATTTGTTTATTTTATGTAATTTATTTACTTGCAAAACATAATTCATGCTCAAATTTTATTTCTCATTCCGCTTTTATGTAAATTTTTTTAACGAAGGCTACCGTAGTGAGATTCTTCAAATCAGTAATTATTATTAATTTTCTAGCATTTACTTTTGCATTCTTAATAATTACAATTATTGGTAGAAATGCAAATATTTGATATGAAGTTAATCGTCAAATGTAGTTATTTTGCTATCTGGTGAAATAAAGCTTCCATTAACTAAAAGTCCTTATTACTTATAACCAGCATGGGTCGTTTTTTTTTCAGCTGACGCGCTTCATTTAGCTCATTTAATTGCATCTCATGGTTATTTATTTCAAATTGATGATCACGTTTTAACTGTAAAAAATGATGGCACTTTTTATCGATTCCAAACTCCCTACTTTTGGCCTTCAAATTGCTGGGAACCAGAAAACACTGATTATGGTCAGTACACTTTTTTCCAATCTGTCTTGCATCGATTGTTATGTAAGAGTAATGTCTTATTACTAGTATCCGGTGGTCTATTTGGTAAATTCACATATTTAACGATTTTTTGATTTTCGTCTTAATTCTAGATTACTGTTAGCAATAGCTCGATATTTTGTGTCTTAAAGCATTAAAACAATCTTTTTCTTTTGCCATATGCAATGAAAAAGAGGGGAAAAAAATTGGCTAATTTTATCTATTTTAAAATTTAACCTTTATTTTCAGCAGTATATTTATGTAAACGAACTATGCAGAATAAAGCGCATTTGGAATTAGAAGATTTTGAAGCGGAAAATTTGGCAAAGTTACAGAAAATGTTCAGCAGAAAGTGGGAATTTATCTTTATGCAAGCGGAAGCACAATATAAGTAAGCTTAATATCATTATCCAAAAATACCATCGCAGCTGTATAATTAATACGCGATTCTGATGTTTCAATACGTTCATTTCTAAATATGATACAAATTATGTAAAAAAGTGAAGAATAAATTTTTTTTGTATAATAATCGAATTTCACCTCAGGAATTCATTTAATTATTAAAGCAAGCAAAAATTTTCATTTTTTGTCACTTGAAACATTTGTGGCCACTTTTTTCTAGCCTTTTTTGATTTAATTATATTAAACCTATTCGATCACACTTTTTTAGAGTTGATAAAAAGCGAGACCGGCAAGAGCGACAAATTTTGGATAGCCAAGAACGTGCTTTTTGGGACGTTCATAGGCCTGTTCCAGGCTGTGTAAACACTACTGAAGTTGATTTCCGAAAGTTGTCAAGATCAGGTAAGTTTTCTTTAATGGACAGACCTTGTTATAGCTTTACAAAATTTTATTGAACTGTTATGTACAAGTTGTGGAAGATAATTTGATTATCTTTAGGACGTCCAAAATACAGTTCATCTACTCATGCTGCTGTAGCTTCATGTTCAAATATTCCTCTGCCATATTCAACTTCTGCTGCAGCTGCTCATGCAGCTGCACAAATGCCTTCTTGCTCAGATTCTGGTTTAAACGGCACTGCAAATACTTCATCGGCTACTCGACAAGCACCGCAACCTGTTTCACAGCCAAGATCAACTCCACATTACAGTCAAAGACCAGGTGTGCGACGATGTACACGAGTTCAGGACACCTTAAAGCAAGAAGTATTTGTTTATTTTGGCAAGCTATGTTTAAGGCTTCAAAATATTCTTGTCATGTTTGAAATTAAAAACTGTATTATCAATTTCAAACTCCAATTTCAGATCGCCACTTTAGAAGCACGGCTGACAAAAAATGTTTTGAAAACGTCGAAAGTCATAGAAAAGTAAGCATTTCAAATTTGTATTTTATTTCATTCGATAATCAAGGAACATAGAAGTCTTATTTATTTACTCGAATTACACTTCATTTTGGAATGGTGCGAAAAAGAAAGGTAGTCACTATTTAATTTTATTTTCGATTATAGTATCAAAACGACATATATAATTAAAATAAAAAGGATATAAATTACTTCAACTAATTCTTCAAGTTTACAAAAGTTTATTACATTACCTTCCCTTTCAGTTATTTGCAATATTTTGATCATCGTCGTGTTTTTGATCCATTTCTTGCTCAACCTGGCACTACAGCTGATCCTTTCCAGAGCAATTCTAATCCTTGGATTTCGGACACAGTTGATTATTGGCAACATGATAAGATGTTAGTGTACTGAAAAATGAACCCCCTATATCTTTTATTTTTTTGGCATATTGAATGAAAATACCTGTAAAATGATTTTATTTTTCATCATTACTTCAGTTTGAGCACTATACATCTTTATTTTTCTCAAAACTTTCTCGAAGGTTTATTTTGGTACTGAATCCTGCAATATTGATATTTGGTAGTCTAGAAAGTGTATTTTTATTAATAGTACCAAAGTAATTTTTTAGTACCGGTGATATATCAATGCGTCGTTTGAAATTATGGGAAGAAAGTTTTGAAGAATTATTATGTGATCAAATGGGTAGAGAAACTTTGGAAAAATTTTTGGATAAAGAATATTCTGGAGAAAATTTGCGCTTCTGGTGCAAGGTATTGAAATAATAAAAGTTGATAAAAAATTCAAGTCATAGCTATCATCCTGATTTTTGAAAATTTCACCATGTTCCTCTTTCTGAAAAATTATTATTTTTGGTAATAAATTGTTATGTTAATCTTCACAGCAAAAAATTTCAGTAACAGATTTATTGATGATATGTGTTTGAAAAAGCTTGTCTAATACATTTTTGAAAATTAATTATTTTAGAAGCTTCAATCATGAAATTAATTCATCAGATAAATTGATAATCAGATACCAAAGAATAAATTAGTGGAATAATCAGTTTTTTAAGACTTTAATAGACATGCTTTTGGTGCCCGATAATTTGTGCAAAACTGAATTTAGATATAGACGACAAGTTACAATTATTCTCAGACTGTAAACTTGTGTCAGTTTTTCTTTTGATTTAATTAGGTTCAAAAATTGCGTAAATGTGCATGTCGTATGGTGCCTGTATTGGTAACAGAGATATACAATGAATTCATCGATAAAAATGCAATATCACCAGTCAATATTGACTGTAAAGTTATGGATCAGACAGAAGAAAATTTGAAAAATCCTAATCGTTGGTCATTTGATGAAGCAGCGGCAAGTTCTAGTCATTATTAAAAGCATTTTATTTTGGCTTAGACTGTATCAAAGTTTTTATGTTCACTGCTTATTTCACTAATAGAAATAACTAATCATTAATGCACTCAAAAACTCTATTTATTTTTACTGCGTAAAAAAGATTAGCGTTTATTTGTTGAAATTTGCATGTTACATTCTAATTATGTTTCATAAATTGTTTTGTTAAAAATAAGACAGTTGATGTTGATTTTACTATACTTTTGGCCTAGTTAGGTGAAATTAAAATAAGTGGAAGTTAAAATAAGGTTGGGTATATCCAATATCAGCTGATACATAAATTAATTCTGCCTATTTTATATTAAACTATTGATGATAGAAATTATATTAGCTATATAAATTAAATAAACACTGTTAAAGTTTCAGGATCACATCTTTTGTTTGATGAAAAATGATAGCTATCAGCGTTTTTTGCGTTCTGAGAATTATCGCGAATTGCTCAGCCAGTCAAAAAAAAAGGTTGGTGTTATCGCAATATTGTTTGGTCTCCAATAGTGTATTCAGGTTGTACGTTTACGTGAATGCTATATGATAAGAGGATGAAAAAATTGCAGAAAGATTATAATAATCCTTCATTAGCTGAATTTTTATTTTGTTCTTTATAAATTGTAAAAGAAACAGTTTAATATTTTATCTTCAAACTCTAGTCGAGGCCTGTGCTACTTACACTGTCCATCAATACTTCTTACTTGTCTAATTTTCAAGTCTGAGGGACTTTTCTTAAAATTTCTAAGATTCTCCTTGAATCATTTATTGATTCATTTATTGTTAGCGGGTATTTTTCTGTCTTTACTTTTTGAATACCTATGACATACAGAAAATTATAATCAAATTTATAAAACCGTGGATTAATTGTTGATTAACGAAAAAATTAAAAGTAAAGAAAGGAGAAATTCTCGTATCTTTCTCTACATTTTCATATTGTTCTTTAGTGCTCAGTGAACATTTTTTATCCTTCACAATACTGCATGAATACATTGTCAAAAGCGCATCCTCATATATTATTATTTTTCATTTATATTTGACCTCGAAATATATTTTAAACCAAGCATGTGACCTTCCATGCCGTTATTTGTGATCATGCGCACGAATTATTCATTTTTGGTTCTAATTTTTTGCTGAAATATTGGTAAGTTTTTGTTGACATAATGGTAAAACACCAGTTTGTTTTATCTTAAATATTTTATGTGTATTACAGAAGAATATTCACTACTATTTTTTTGAATTTCCATCAAAAATTAGTAGCATGATATTATATAATAAATTTTACAGCTAGTGAAAAATATTTTCATTGTCTTAACTTTGTGTTGTTCAGTTAATTCCAAAATGATAAAATCTTTCACAGTGGTTACATGAATTTTTTCATGACGGCAGTTGTATTATTCGAGAACAAAACCTTTGCAGAAAGATGTAATTTTAGTTTATTAATTATTCATCTTATCTTTCCACTTATGATTTGAATTTTGCGCCCATTTCTGTTTTTTTTACGTTCGTGTGAAGTTGTCTTTTTATTTTTATTTTTTTTCCCTGCATTTTGTATTGTTTTAGACATCTGCACCATTCTCATCGCTGATCGCACGTAAGGCGTCACGAAAGACTTCACGGACACGTTTAGTGAATAGTACGACATCATGGGGTGACAGTACAGCAACAATTACTAGCATCCTTCCAACAGTTATCAACAGTGCACCATCATTATTATCTTCACCTACATCACCGTCATCGTTTGTCGCTACTGGAGAAGCAGTTCATCAAGAAGCTAGTTCTGTTCGGCTGTCTTTTTCTCCTTAGCACTGAATTCCTTGAATTCGTTTACATATATGCGTACACGTACTCGTACATAATATTACCATTTTTTCTGAGTTATTTTACTTTCAGTTTAGGGTACAAGTTTATATACCTTTTCATTTCTGAAGCACTTTCATCTGCAGTCACATTTGAAAATGAAGTAAAATTTTAGTAACAAAAAGCATGCTTGATTTTGATTGCGTGACAATATTCAGGACTTTCTTAGCGTTTAATTTGTTACATTCGCATGTTAAAATTCGCATATTCTTCTAACAGTCATTCTCGCGACTTTATTAAAATAAAGATAAGTATGCTTGTTCGATTTTTTAGAGCAAAGTAATTCAATATAATCAACCAAATCCATTTAGGAAAAATTACATTTATTACCAGAAGTGATATGTTTATGACTGCATACACTTTCATGTTTCATATCATTTTTTGTTGTGTAATTTTGGTTTTATTTTATATTCTTTGCAAATATTCTCATGCTGTAAGTACATTCCATTTCAAATTTTCTAATTTAGAAGTTTTTAGAAGAAATGAAACCCCCAGGCATAAGATGTGCGTATATTTTGTCTATTTTAAGAAGAAAGAGAAAAATATCAAGGGAGAGGGATTTCATTTAAAAAGATAGGAAAATTAACATATCGTTATTTAAATATTTCGTTAAGTAAATCTATTTCTAGTGTAAAAAATTAGCAAAAATTCATAAATAGAATAATTTTTTTACTGAAAAAAACTTTTCAGGTACCAGTAAAAGTATCGCGTGAAATAGGTATACGTTTTCCAAATTTACCGGGTTTTTCGTCTAGTACAGTTCGTCGTGAAGCATCACAGCCCACAACAACATCTGGAGCTATATCTGCAATACAGTCATCAGCTAACACGGCTTCTGCTGCCGTGGCACCATCATCTGCGACTGCAAGTGCCGCATCAACATAGTCTTTTCACATTAGATTAGAATGTGTATATTAACGCGCTTTCAGTTTTTTTAAACTTTAATGTAGCGAATTCTGCGCTCATTTCTAATATATGTTTACGCTGCTACGTGTTTTACGTAATCAAACGTGTTGTAAATTAAAAGCTGTAAGAAGAATAAATAAATGAGCTAGTTTGATTTCGTGTTGTAATCATAAGTATTCAAGTGGAGATCATCAATTATATTATTTTCTCAAGAGTAAAGTAAATCATAATGACACTTTTTTCACAAAACTATAAAATGATTGCTATAGTGCCATATTTTTACTTGCATACTTTAATATGAAGTCCATATATTTTTTTTTTCCAAATTAAAGAGTGAGTGCAAAACGATTTTATTAAACTGTTGGTGGATTATTATTTATTCCATTTGGAACTAATGAAGTACTGAAGCGTGTGAAAAGTTTACATGCATATTAACTAGGACTGTTTGCTATTTTATAGCTTCAATCAAGCATAGACGTAAAATGTTTTATAAATGTGTGCGCTGCACTGAATTTATTAGCGTGTCTTATAAAATTTGAACTTTAAGAATCTGTACAACTTACTCTCATATCCATTTTTTATTTTGACGTAATGCATTTTATTAGCAGATTATGAACTGTACTGGAATATAATTACAAAATATTCTTGAAAATTGCTAGGGATTATCAGGGATTGTGACAAAGAATGCTTTAGTATCACATTAAGGCCTATATTAAAGAACTGAGAATAACCGTTGTCGGTAACGTATTTTTGCTATTTATTTCTATTTTCCTTGGGGATACAATTTTCTTTTTAAGCAGTGAAAGTTTATATATGTGCTCTTCATTTTCAACAATTTAGCAAATAACAAAATTTCTCAAATTTTATCTACGTTTTCAAACGGTTAATTTTGTGTTATACCTCTTATCCAACATACTTCAAATCAGTGATGTTCAAAGAAAAGTCAAATTCTACCGCAGATGAAAACTGATGCTGTTCAAAGCAAAACGTTCAAGAAGAGCCAAAAGTTTAAGAGATACAAGCCATTTGCTTACATCCTGATATCTTGTCTATACTACTGATCCTCATTTTCCACTAGTGGATTTATGAAGAACAAATTAACATAGCATCCCCTTGCAAATCAGGTAATATCTCATATTTGTGCACATGCAAGAATGAGCGATGTAGTTTAATTTGATGTAATGAATATCTATCTCTCTTTACAAATCATGCACATTGCCATGATTCTTTAACTATTCACGCTTTATTTCATTTTGAAAGTATTCAGTGATGAAGAATGAGAATGATCTAAAGATACTACGTATCGTCTTCTGAACTACCAGAATTTAGACAAATTGTGGAAAGTTAAAACATAGAAGTAAATGAATTTAACATAGGCTTTGGGCAAACATTATGGTTTCGAAATAATAGTGAAGTAGCAATAAAATTACCAGATCTCGAGACCCATTTTTCAGTCCTTTGTGCCAATTTGCCCAAAATTAGTGACAAAAATATTGTGTTAGACTCACAAATTCAATTAAGGAAAGTTAAAAGACGTACTATTAAAGAGCCCTAAGGATACTGGAATTGATGGGAACATTCATCGCTTACTTTGTACAGAAAGATGGAAGAAATGACAAATATAAATGGTTGTCTGTTTATAGGACTCATTATATCTAAATATGTTTTCCTTTACATGATGCTTACAGCGTTCGTGGATATGAGACTGGGAACGTACGTCAAGTTTGGGAGAAGCATGTCTAATGAAACGAAGAGCAGTTACACAAAATGTATAATAAAAGTAAACACATATTACTATCACAAAATGATATTAGCGGACACGTGAATTTAAGAGAGATCTTGTAATGCGTTAATTACGCAAATTGGCATCATTTCTCAGAAATTAATCTGTGGAATCATAAATCATGACTCACCTAAAAAATTATCTGAAATGGATCGCTGGTTCTTCAATTGAATCAGATTGAGCACTCCTTGAAATTATAGTTCTTACCAACCACCTCCACCACCTTCATCACGTACTGCAGCCGCTGGATACAAACCTTTACCGCCAGTATCTCTTATTCCAGGCTGAAATGGTGCTGCAGGATATGCACCACCACCTTGATATCCTGAATTTGCAGGCATGCCACGACGTCCGATACCTCCACCACCACGGAACATCTGGCCTATTAAATGACCAGCGCCCATACCACCAAAAGCACTCATAATGTTACTCAAGCCTCCGCCACCTCTGCTGGTATTTCTATCTGACATCCCTCTATAACCAGTTTCAATGTCAGATGGTCCTTGTCTACGTGAATGGTTTGCGCCGTTGTTACTAGTACCCTTACAGAAACAGCAGTAGCACAAACAGCAACAACAACACAACAGAGGAAGAAGAATAAGGAAAAGCGTAATCCATATCCAGAATGGAATGCGTGACATAGTACTAGGACGTTTTTTGGCATCATCTGGTGCAGGACGAATGCCTTTGGGAGGTGCAGAAGGGAAACCAGGAACCACACCACCCCGATCATCCGCGCTATCACCAGTTTGTTTTCCCTGCTTTGATAAAGCTTTTTCCCACGTTTCGCGTATAATATTACCCACCGCTTGTCCATACTCTCGTTTTTGGAAAAGTGGCTTCTGCAAATATGCTGCACTGTATTACATAGAACATCAATTATCAATTAAAATCATAATATATGCATTGAAAAATAGAGAATTTATTTTAATGCATCAGTAATGAGATATTTTTTACAACTAAAATTAAGTACTTTTGTGTAATCATTACTTTATTTGTAATTTCACCTTTTCTCCTATAAAATTTTGATGAAATGCATGAATGAGAGATGTTTTTAAAGCTTGTCACAAAACTCTGCCGTGTTAATAATTTGGACAGAATTTCTTTAGATCAAAATTTATAAAAAATTGTTTCAGGAATAGTTGGATAAAACAAGCAAAGTAACAGAACAATTTTACTCAGCAATAAATTAGTAAATTAAGAAACTTTATTTATCCAAATATAATTCTAAACCCAAAAATATAGCATTATGATTAACTTGAGATGTAAAAATCTCTGTTAATTCTTGAGCGTAAATAGGAGTACGTGAATCACGAGCAGCCCAAAATCGACGATCTTCCGTTGCTATCACATAAACAATTGATTTCCGGCACTGATTATCCAGAGTCCATTTTCGCAAAATATCATTTGCCATTTCTTTGACAGCCTTAAAAGAAACATATAATTACTGATGTTTATCACATCACAACAACAAAACTTTTCATATCTTAGAATAACATCCCATAGGGATATAAAACTGAATAACACGAGAAGTCTAAAAGTTTACAGCACTAACATCATTTTTTCTAATGATGATTTTGATCCAATCACAAAAAATTAAAGTGATCTTACCATTTCAGAACCTCCTTTGACATGCTTGACAATGGCTATTGCAGCGGTGATCCCTTTTTTCTGACAAAAATCTGGAGCATGATCCTGCAAATAAATTACCTGCTAGAAATCATTTAAGTAAAAACAATACTAAATTTTATTGACTACTTTGTTTCAACATTCTCCATACTATCCTAAATTATATTTATTAACGTGGGAAAAAATTGACAAAAATCTTTTTTTTTCTTCTTCAAAACAATGATCTAAACAATAAATGACACTTATTTTCTCAAAATTTGACGAAATACATTAATAATACTAGAAAGTGTAGGCAAAAAAAAATTTGGTGGAATCTTCTGTACATCAAGTCTGCAAGAACGGAATATTATTACTTAAAATGATCAACTCTGTTTAATTCGTTGACAAAAAGTAGAACTGTCGAAAACTTCAGTGATTTACATCTTAGTTTTTTATATTTGGTTTTACGTCACAGTTAAAAAAATCTTTTATTTCTCTTAGAATTTCTTATAGCATAAAAACACTTTCTCTTCAATGGAGCATAAAATATACTACAATAAAGTGTGCTTAATTGCAGCTTTTCACGCATCACTTAAAGGCATTACGCACGAATCTAATCATTTAACTGTATGCATAATATTAAAGAGAACCTGACGAGTTCGAGACTCTAATTGATTCAACTCATGATTCAATCGATAACGGTCTGATTCTGAGAGTACATGATCAGGATCACATATGTTCGAAGTCGATCGCATATTACATTGTTTAAAATCACTTCCTGTTGGATTTGGTAAATTCGATGCATCCCATTCAAGTTGTTGACAGTAACAAAAAATAAATAATACGATGGTACACCACAATGATTTACTTACTGAAGTCATCATCTAAAAGAAAAAAATATTAAGTAGGGAGAGATTAAAAACTGATTTCTTAAAACTATTATTTCCTGCACAAATAGTTCCAATATTGTAACAATACATAGTATTACTACTACTAAAGTTGCATAAATGATCGAAATTAAGCAAGTAGAAAATAGAAAACAAAATAAATCATGCAATGATTATTTGCTATTGATGCATTTAAATGATATTTTCAAACCCAGTCCAAGTCAAATTTCATGAAGGATATCACCATAAAGCAAAACAAAGTAAATACTATCACTTAATGCGAAACCAATTGATCCTTAAAGTAGTAATTAATCATAGCAGATGAGTGCTTAATTTTATACTGCATAACCTTTTAAGATTTCCAATTCTTCTCCGACAATCGCTCGCTCTACTCTTCTAGTCTGCCAGTTCTATTTTCAATGCTTGCAAGCTAACTACGCCATACGCAAACATATGTCGAAGTTGCGTTGGATAACAATCAGTGCAAGTACTGATCAGCTCATGTTCAACTTTACATCTATACCAGTGAATTCCTAGATTTGGTAGGTCACGTAAACCATTAAAAAAGGTTATCTAAAATCAGTAAACGAAGAAATGGAAAGAAGAAATGAAAATACTTCCTATCGAGTAGCACAATTGGGAGAGTACTGCAATGAATTACGTTGAAAATAATATGAAAACAAATGACGAAAGCAGAGAATATCAAGTAAATAAAGTTGCAAAATGAGCACAAAATATTTTCAGATGACAAGCAAGTAACTTGACAACTTTTTTATTAAAAACGTTTCAAAGCGCTAGGTAATGCTACACTTCACAACAATAACTGTGGTATAGAATTAAGAAGAGATATATAACAGCATGACTCAATGTTTATTAAAACATAAGTCAGCTAAACAGTAGCAAGTAATAACAGTAAAGGTGAACAACTTTAAAGCTAAAATACATCATTATGGCAAAGAGAGATTATGATTAGCAAACTGAAGTTAACTTTTATAATAATTCTCTTGAAGTCATGATCCCATACCAATCAATAACTTCAACAAATAAACAAATGAATTGATGAAAATAACTTTAGTGTCACTTTGTCATGCATATTAAGGACTACATGTATAAAGAACCACAACAGCAATTGAGATATGCTTTGCCATCATGCCAATCCCCATATGTACGTGAAATACGTGCTGAAGACGTGACAGAATTCATATAACTTGCATCAGTAATATACCTCTTTACACTTGGCATATAAACCAAATAAGTATGCTCTCTATAAGTGAAATTGTGAAGAGTAAGATAGTGAGAGTAAAATTAACAAAACATTCCACGTCATCCCTACATATGTTTTCAATCAACAACCATATACAAGAACCATACTTACACTGACTCTGGCTAATTGTATGCGTCATAATCTTCATTAATGCTTTCAAACATCTACAAACCATACTAAAATATCTCGTGAATTGCACTAAAACAAAAGAAAAAAAAAGACTTAGCATGCACACATAACTTAAATTCAATTGCTTGTAGGCATTCAACTTCCCTTCATCGCCCCCAGCATTACTACAAATTGACTATTACGACTATTCCATATAGTTATCATAATAATTCTACAACAAATATTACTGCCAAAGCTGTGATCCTACCATTCACAAACTAAAAGTAAACACACAACAAACACTTCCATGCATAACAACATCAGTACGGACGGACAAACTTTTATACTACAAACAAACGAACGAAATATGTAAAACGATTTGAACTATAAATGCAAAACACCACAGGAACAAAAACAAAAAAATACGAGAATGCTAAAACCATTGCTTTAAGAAGTACAAAACAACGGAAGTTTGTAGTGATATAATTGAAATCTACTTTGATCATTATTATGCTTCTTGCTTCTGCTAGCTCTATATTATTTTCACCTTACAGCACCTATATTTACTCAATTAATTATAATTATCAATCTCTATGTTACCACATGTTGAGTGAATCTAATCCACTATAACTGAGTACCTTCAGAAAGACATAATTCATTATAATTTCTACTCAACAAAATCTAACAATCAATGGGAAAAATTCATATAGGCAGAAAAACTGGTGAACAAATATGCAAATAAAGTTTACAGAACGAAAAGAGCACTGTCCACAGCACAAATAAATACTTAAATACTCAATTAACACATACAACTGTCCGTCCAACTGCTTTTAAGGTGCAGGTAAAAACGTTCGAGGATCATATAATTATGATATAATATAATACAGGGACAAACTACTATGTCTCAGAATTCCAAAACAATAAAACAGTGCCATAAAATTAGATTCTCAAGTAACAATACTTAATTCATCTCATGTATTTCTAAGTATAATAAGTATTTTGTTAAAAATGGAAAACTATCCCATTCAGCACAAAAGTGTTATTTAAATGAATATGGTTACACAAACTACAGTTAAGTAGAAACGCTGAGAGTAAGAGTTGGCATACATTAAATCGAACGACTCACAACATTTTGGTATGGATCCAAACCAAATGAACAATGAAAAATCTGAAATGCACATTCCAATCACCCGTACAAAATGAACTCTGAATAATAGTTCAAATTGTGTCTCGAAACAATTCAAATCATGCGCCACTCAATTGTGAAGTTAAAAAATGTTTCCACGGATAACATGAACACTAAGGCTTCAATATTTTCTGGACAAAATTATGAGATTAAAAAATGGTTTGAAAATGTACAATAACTCCAAATACAACCATATATAAGCAACAACTTGAAATATATTTATGCTGAAAACCTTACTTTCTACATATAAATGCCCTTATTTATTACGAATTACATATTAATACAAGAATGCTTTAAACAATAACACGGAGCAGATATTATAACGAATAATTTGAATGACGAGAGATGAGTGTGCCAACAAGCAGCATTCCCTACTTGCTGCTTACAGTTATTGAAAAATAAAGTGGAGAACAAAGAATAACTACGACATCATATCAGCAGGCGGTGCTAGTAATATTGGAGTAATATCACCTTTGACAATATCTTGGACCTAAATACAGATGAAATCAATTCATGAAAATATTTCCTATCATTTTAAACATTATGAAAAGAATGACAAAAATCTTTTTATCAAAAACTATTTTAATCATAAACTTAAGAAAAACAAACAAAAAACAGCTTTGTAAAAAGTAATTGTAAGATTAAAGGCAAACAGATTACCGTCTTTCGAAAAATATTAATATTCTGAGTGAATGAATCTTTGTTTCGATTAGACAAATTTCCTTCCACACCAGTCATGAGAGAAGCAAACGCCTTAAACGACGATTTTTTCAAATACAGCAAAGAGAAATGAATTAATCCTCAAAACAACTTTATTTCAAAACTGTACGCGAATGTGAACGAAAATACCAAGATGTAGAATTAACTAGCTCTTTGAAACGTTTCTAATAAAAGAGTTACTAATTTTTTCGACAGCATTTCGATCGAACAAGGAAAGTCTTCACTCATAAAAACGAAAGCTATCAGACAAAAATTACTGTATCTACCAATTACAAGGATAAATTATCACCACCAAAAATAATTAAAAATACAAAAAAAAATTTATAAAATGTAAGAAAAAAAATAATTTCATCATGATTTCCGAGACAAAATAATCTAGAACTCCTGTCGGTAAAGTGCAAAAAAGACTGAACGAAACACTGTAAGTAAGAAAAGAGCACAAGGTAAGATACAATGAACATTTTGCTTTTTCTGATTTTAAACCCTAAAACTCCCTCAAATTCACCAGACTAAACATTTAGCTAAATAAGGCACCGTACTTATTAAAAGAGTGATAACAATGTCTGATATGAGCTTAAATCAAATCACCGCTACCCAATATCTCATAATGAGCTTGAATTAAAGCATAACCATCAAGAAAAAATAAGTAAATATCTATTAGATTAGTTCGATTTAAATAAGAGTCAAAATTCCAAAAGCCTACTTTATCTTTTTACCTTTAATGATATACATAAAGAATATTTAATTTATTATCATATAATTCATAAAACATATACCTCTTCAAATGCTGCGCATTTATCTCGTGGCTGACTGCTTAATATTTGAATTTTCCACTGCTGGAAGCATTCTTCTTGCAATAAAATCAAACCAAGTAATGGCCTTGATAATGACCACTGGCATTTGACATCATCGAAAATCAAGGCATTGAGAATTGTTGATAATATCTAAAAACTTATTATTATGCAAAAAAATTAAAAATTTACTGGTAGATGCAGTAATCAATATCTTTTGATTTACAGTGATTTTGCTTTTTGTCATAATAGAATACACTGATGAATTCAATCCATAAAATTCATAAAATGCTGAATGCTCAGTTTACAGTTGATCTTAGAATAAAACTTTAAAAAATCATGCATAGAAAAATTCAGCTAAATTTAATATTGCAAAGGAACTGTAATTTAAATTAAGAAAAAATTTTCTTTTCACTGACTTAATTTTATTACTTGAACTTTATAAAGTCTCTTTATCACCTGAGGTAGCAAAGATGGATCTGATTCAAGAGCACGGATAAAATTTTCCCCTTCTGTTTCAGAACCAACATGTGCTCGAGGAGGAGTGGTACGCGTTAAACGACGATACATACAATTTAATATTAGATCTAAAGTTGAACAAGCAGCTGCTGCCTAAGAAAAGAAAATCAACGGTAAATATATGATCACAAGCTGTCTGAAATGAAGGAAAGTAATGACTAACTTTTGCTTGCAAACTTGTACTTCTAGTTATGGATGCTTATACAAATTTTCATAGTTTTGAAATGGAGGTGAAAATGAATTCTATTTTTATGATAACAAAGTAAGTATGATATATAGTATTTATTTTCAAGTTACAGAATGTAAAAGCTTCCTTTGAAAATTAGGAAAAAAAGATATTACTCATCGAAACTTTCAAAAACATACAACAACAGCGTCAAGTGATACAGTCGCTTGCTCAATATAACGCATCATCAAAACAAATACTTCCGGCTTAACATTGGATAAAAAGCACATACTATCTTGCGCAATAGACTCTAATAGCACATGGAAATTCCGAACTAATTTTGAATATAGCTGAAAAAGTAATCAGAAAAATTTTATAAAGATTCAATCGTAGATTAACAAATATCTCATAACTTTTCTACTTCAACGAAAAGTATTTTAACTGCATTATTTGCTTTAAAGAAATAAATTTTTAAGACTTACATGAAATTCTTGTTCAGGTATATACATGAGTAGTTTGATAAATATTTCCAGTGCATTCTGAAGACACGTGTCACCATATAATCGGAACACGCCAAAAGGAATATATGAACCACTTAAAGCCAGCTTTAGTATATTAAATACAGTCCCAATATTTTTATATCTTTCTCTATAAGCATTTTCTGGAGCTACTTTGGGTAATTCTAACATTCGAGTACCTGCAACTTCTTGGACATCGAATATGGGGATCGATTACAAAGTTAATTATTAAACTGTTTCTCTCAAAAATGAAACACTTCATGGCGATTAAATGTCAAGACTTTTTTGATCAGAACTCCCTAATTGCTCCAAAACTGCGGCAAACAATAACGTGAATGCGTTGAAAAAATACAACCCTATAAACTTCAATTGGCCATCTAAAATATGTATAAGGAAAGTTAACGAGAGTTAAGAAATAATTGCATCAAGTGTATATGGAACAGGAAACACAGAAATTATAAAACAAAAGTTATTTAAAGAAAAAATTTCGAGAACAAGATACATTACAAAAACTAGCATATCTGACCATGATAAAATGCAGTTCCTTAAAAAATATGCTCTTCAACAGCGGTGCTAAAAGAATAAACAAACTGTTTAATCTCCGGTTATTTAAACTAATCGTTTTATAAAATGAGAATAAAATCCAACCATATGTACAGATAGCTTTTGATACTTCTTGAAAAAGTAATACTGCACTACACGATGACATTTCGAACTGTAATCGCTGTTGACGATTTTGCGATAATTCTGCTAGCAATTTTAAAATGGGATTGACCACTTCAGTTGAATTCGCCCAAAAATCCACTGCTCGACTTAATATGGAGAATACCCTTGGGTACCTGAAAAACTTCCTGAATAGAAGAAAAATTCGGCAATCGCAAGTAAGTAGAAAAGTGTATGATTTATTTATCAAGGTAAGTTTATAATTTATAGGCAAAGACAAAAAATGTAAACAGATTCTAAAACTTACATCCAATCGAACAACAACGAAAAGAGATATTTCGTATGACATGCCATAGAAATTCCGCGAAGATCGCGACAAAGGCCGACGACAGCCCTCTAAAGAAATGCATAAACAAAGGAAAAAAGTGATTATGAATTTGCCTTTTGAACTCTTATGAGTATGTACTTGCAAGCTTTAGAAAGAAAAAACTCAAATATTTTGAAATAAAACTATATTTTTAAGTAAGTACAAGAAAGCGAAAAATCATAAACTGCAAACCTTAAGACGTTCCTGATCAACCTTTGCGGAGTTCAGTTCAAAAACGTCGGAAATTTCGTGTACACAATCTTAATTTAAACAATGACTAAGAAAATCACATATTCTTTATCATAATAAATATTAATACCTAACTTTAGAGCATAAGAAACACTCCTTTTATTTATGAGTGTCAACGGCAATTAATGTAGAAAGAATCATATTTTAAATATTAAGTCAATATAATACCTGTTAAAGGCAGCATAAAGGAGAAAAAAACTGAATCGTTGTCATTTAAGTCTATGGTCAGTAACCGCATTAGTGCAGCGTAGAAAGTTGTACGACATCTCATATTGCGAATATCCGATTCCGCAGACAAGAAAGAAAAGTGCTCTCCCTTAAAATTAGGAAAATTTCTGAACTAAACACTAGAATAACTTTCGAGAAAAATTTAAAAAGCACATCAAGAAGCAAAATTTTTATGGTGCAGTAGAATGACTCTTTTTAATGTGATTAATAGTTCATTTACAATAAAATTTAAGTAAAAATCTTATAACTGATTTAACATTATTTTCAAATCTACTATTCAATCAAGACCAACAAAAACTGAAATAAAAAATTTTAACTTGCAACACTTACTGAATGATGATTCAATAATAACTGTATATCAGGTAATCGTACCAGACGACGACCAGCTGAAAATCCAAGTGAAAGTTCATTGAGCAGCGTTAAAGTGTCTTCAATCAATTTCTCTTCTGTTCCCCAATATTTTAAGTTTGTAATGCTACAATTTTCGTTCAACATAAATTTAAAAATGAGATTGCTAAATCAAATTATTTTATTAAATAGAAAGTAGGAAAGACATAAATCTAAATGAAACAAAAAATATCTCCAGTTTCTTGTAAATTATAACAGAGTAATAAAACAGAGTTTGTAAAGGAAAGAAAGAGAACAGAAACTGCTGGGAATTTATAAGCTTGTATTTCATCACACAGATGATTAGAGAATAGCCTCTTTATGCCAAAATTAAAAAAATACGTCTCAGTAATGCTAAATGATTTTTATAAAACAAATAATATTTTTTACTAAGACTATGCTAAAAAGCTATTTTAATACAATATAATATCTAATTAGTGAAAAAGACAGCAAATCAAAATCAGATTCCCAAAAATTTACATTTTGCGTGCATATCCGGTAATTACAGCAGTCTCATCTTGCAAGCCCAGGTTAGTCTGAAGCTGAGCATATACCTTGCTAATTTTCTGGACCTGATCAGTAACATAAATTTTTCGAAATTGGTCTAACATATACAAGTAAGCAATCTCAAGCTTAAAATTCCCTGGAAGGCCAGAAGAAAGCCGCGAATCCGAAAGTTCCATAAGTTTCAAAACCCTGAAAAGAAAATTACGCTGAAAACCGAACAGGCATATAATTAACAACTATGGTTGAAGCCGAGAATAAATTACTGATCAAACAACAAAAAAGCCACATTTCTCAAAGTAAAGCCAATTCCAATCATTGTGTAATGATTTTCTGATTACTAAATAGGTAATAAAGAAAAATGTACATACCTACAAACTAAGTTCCCATCAACAACGTCATGTTCTTCACAGTCACTGTATGATGCTCGACCGAGTACAGCAGCACCAATTACTGTTACAAGCCACGTCAAGCATGCTACCGATTCGCACGCTTCAGTAGACTACAATGTCAACAAATTAATTTTTAGAGCTTTCGCATTCTTGAAATATATCACTCTAATATTTTACTTGAATTAAAACTCAAAAACATTTAAAAATACTAAAAATACAATTAAAAAAACAATGAAATGTTTCAACTAGAGTTTGTTTTCATATATTTTATACCTGCGGATTGCTAACTGAACGTTCATATATTGCGTAATCATGATCAAATAGACGCATGATGACCTCCGCTGATTTTTCATATTCACAACGACAAATTACAGATATTTGATCCATAACCTGCTGAATAGCACCTCGATCATCCAAAGGGTCCTCACTCACATCACCTCTGAAACTATTTGCATATAAGCAAAACTTTAAATGCCATATCAGATACTGAATTGCAGAAAAAGAATGATATGACTTCAACGGTAACTAAAAAACTTAGCCACTAATAGAATGAAGTTGAAAGCTAGGTAAAGAGCTAAAAGATAATAAGAAGGCATGCTGGTTTTCGTATTTGTCAACTAACAACTTGACAGTGTAAAATATCATGATTAAAATTCTGGGAGATAGTTTTCTGAAACAACTATCTTCGTCATGGAAAAACTAAAAAAACTGCTTATCGGTTAATCGAATATCTAATGTGAGAAGGAATATTTTTTGATACAACTGATACAAAAAAAATTTATGATCACATTCAAAAATTTTTCAATATCAATTAATGAACCTTGCAACAGCTCTAGCATACTGTAAGCGACTTTCTATATAAGTTGTGAATATTCTGGGGCAATACATATTCAGGAGATGCGGATCCACAACATTCACATAAGGTACAGAAGCAACCATTCGGTGCCAAAAGGATAATAAGTAATAGGTACTGTTTGCAGAGAATTCATAAGCCTAAGAAATACATATTTTCATACATGCTGATCAACTTTTTATTCGCAATAATAAAATTAAAATAAGGTTTTCTAAAAAAATGGTAAGTAGAATTAAGCTTCTAAATTCCCAGACGAACACATGACTTTCAACTATTAAACTATCTATAAGTGATAGTTTAACAGTTGTCTAAAAAAGGATATCTATAAGTGATATCCTTCTTTAGACATCTAGTGTTTAAGCATGCAGAAAGTCAACACTTAATATAAGATTAATTTTGAAATACAGTATTAAAACTTACTCTTAAACTTTGTTCAGTAAAATCAGTTAATAATGCGAGCAAAGCCGGATACTCATCAATTTTTATCAACTCAACCAATTGGAAATTACCCTTCATACGTGATACAACGCGACAAAATTCATGAAAACTTTCCTAAAAATTGACTTTGAACATGTAAACTACTTCTCTTTTTTCGACTATGGGAAAATGCATTTTAGTAAAAAATTGCTTGAAGAACTGAAAACACTAGAAAATAGACATTTATTTTTCATTTTTTTGGCATCACAGTCTAGAAGAATATGAACATATAAAATGCATACTTGCTGTCGAAGTTTATCTGGTTGTTCCATTATTCCTTTAACGCCTTTTACTAGATGAGTGAGATAAGCCTGTCGTTCTGAACCTGAGAATAATGTCCGGCGAAGAGAACTCAGTTGAACAATATTTTGTAACACACGTGTAGTCAACTCAATTGGTAATTCTTTATATAAACAGAAGAACAATTTTAGTAATTCGCCATCTGCGAACGCTGAAGAAGAATAAGTGAGATTTGCTTTTGTAATAGATAAAAGAATACTTTCTATTTAAATATTTCATGTAATTAAGTTTACATGCTTCAGAAGAAAAGTACCAAAAACCGGCATTAGATCAGATACAACGGGCAATATTTCAAGAAAACAATTGTGGTTCGCTTACATCTTAGTCATCTTATATTTTAGTCATCATATACTCATTAAAAGCTATCGCAAGCACAATCAGTACCATGAAATAATTTTTTACAAAATATAAAACATTAGAAATTAACCTAGCCTCCAGAGAGTTGGCACTTGAACTGTAACATAATCATCGTTTGTTTCATCGACTATATTACCAAGGAAATCATAGGAAAGGCAGTTGTATGAAAGTTGCAGTAAGCTGCTAATTGTAGGAAGCTGAAACAACTGATACATTAATCGGTGTTAAAGAATTATCATGTCTGAAAAGGTGCTACACGATAAAATTTCGACAGAATTAACCGAGTCATGAAAGAAAGCTCGTAGGACATAGACCATCAATTCACAACACATGTACTTCAAAACAATATGAACTACAGAAACCATCTATATCTCATTTAAGTATTCCTCAATAAGAATGCTAATAGCAAACAATGATATACCTGAGCTTGATTTATTCCACCAACAGTCATTTTTCTTAGCAATGATGTTGATAATTCAAAAATATCGAATAGATATGAATCAAGAAAGCTTGATAATATCTTTCGCCGCTTTGTAATAGTTTCAAAACCAACAGACTGCAAATTTTTCAAAAAATTGGTTACGAGAATCATCAAAGATCTTCTATCAAAAGGAAACAAGACAAATTGGGTCATCTTTTCCATCATTCGTTTTCCACATTTTTATTGAGGATCAGGCAATTTATGACTATAAGAGAAATTACATGGTGTTATGATTTTTCTCAATCATTCAGATATCCATTTTTGCTAAATTAAAAGGATTACCTTCATTATATCTTAAAATTTCATTATGGAAATCTGCTTTAGTTTTAATGAGATTACTCTTGATGTCAAGGATCTAAATATGATTTGAAACACTTCAAAATCTATATTTTCTGCACGGAGAAAAAAATGATAAAAACGTACAGAATTGATATCTGCAACCAATACTGCTAGTAACTGTACAGCCAGTTGAGCTTTATCGGAATTGTTCTAAAAAAACAGTCACCACTGTTAGCACAGAGGAATTATCCTTCAACAGAAAATGATGAGAAAAGAATTGCTACATGAAATACGATTACATAATTATTATATTTAATATTTATCGATTTCGATTTTTTCCATCTCAATATTCTATTTTCTTCAACTTCCAGAGTTCAAAATTGAAAAAATTATAGAGAATCTATATAATGCTTTCAAGATGCTGAAAATTCTCATTACTCTAATTTTCACAAAATGATTCAGTCTTACTTGGGCAAGTTCCATAATTGTAGAAACTGTTTCGCGGAATGGGAAAGATTGATTTTCCAAAAAATCATCCCATCCAAGTTTGGTAATCCGTCCAAACAACTGATAGAGAGAGGCAAGCACAAATGGAGGTAACGATTCTGATCTTTCGCCAAGAAAATTCAATAAATAAGTATCTGAAAAAAATAAAGAGTAGGGTGAATATATGCGTTAAAATAGCTTCTATCGAAGCAAACATCTTAAATCATACCACTTTTCAATTCAAAGCATTTGCTAAGATGGAATGTTATTCAATGCCAATCTAAGCAAGCAGTGCAAATCATGAATTATCTCATAGCTTTTTCTCTTCAATATCTCGATAGTTTGTTTCACTTTTTTAATCTTATGTTTCGATAAAAATGTTAACTTACTGAGTTCTAATCGTTGCCGTAACGGTATGCCTATTTTCGAGGTAAGCAATTTCATAAGAGTGTTGCTGGCAACCATATGAGCGAACGGTGCCTAAATATGTACTTTGATCAAACGCTTTGATTAAATACACACCACTAAACAATAAACATCAAACTGTTACTAATTAAACATGTTTGGTAGAAAAACTGGTATTAAGCCAGTTAAATATCAGAATTTCATAAATTAATTTGAAATAAACAAATATGAGAATAAAAATAGTAAATTTACGATAAAAAGAGCATAAGCTGAAAATACGAAATATCTTAAAACACGACTTATTAATGAAGTATTTTTAAATGAAAAATAACTGCCTACAACTAGATAAGAAATCAAATTCTTGAATCAAAACGTTAATTCTGCTAGAAAAATAATATTTCATCTACTGTTATTAATAAAAATAACTCACAGTGCCATTCTGCAGGAGCAGCATACATCTCCTTAGGCAATCGGGTGATGATACTAACTCTGTCAAATTCTGTTCTGCTTGAAGTCGCCTAGCACCATCAATACTTTCGTACAGTACTTTGCAAAAATTGTCTAATGCCTGAAAAAATATAGAGCTTTCTTGCTAAAGTATCCTTTTGTTCACTATGTACACATATCAAGAATGTTTTCTTTGAAAAATTTAAATTTGTTAAGACCTTCGGAGATACAAGACTTAATTTAACAAAATACTTCTGTTAAGATCTTTACTCAAAATAAGGAAGTTTTGCTCCAAAAATTTGGAGAGTCGAGAGTCAAAAGTATTAATTTGCTAAAATTTCAAATTATGAATAAACAAATTACGCTATCGAAAAAAAATGAAATTTAACAAGAATAATGTAAAATATAAATTAACGCTAGCAATGTGCAAGCGTTGGCTTATAATTATCGTGCAATGAGCTAATTTTGAATTTTTCAGCAAGAGAAATGAGACAAAAACTTAAAACTGTAAATGCTTTCTAAAATAGTTAAAAATTTAAAAGGAAATTACTTGTATTTCTGTGTCCATTATATTCACTATTAAACCAATATAATATAAGAACAGTGATCACTTTATTCCAAAGTGACAGAGCTTACTAAAGATTGATAACTACTACTTGATACCAGATTGATCAGCTAACCCTGAAATTTACTTTCCAAATAAACGAAAAACCCTGTAACTTTGATTTGAATTACAAGTGAAATGGATAATAATCTAATGCATCCACTTCGTTTACTGTTTTTTTCTTATTAAACCCATTTAATTCTGCATTTTAATTTCTAAAACAATCCATTTAATTTTCTATTATTGCAATATTACTGTGCAATCATTACTGTGGTTTTTAATGAAAAAACTTTTCAAAGTTTGTACGATAAAGTTGACAAATAACGTTTAGTTTGTACAACCTTTATTCCTACATCTATATCCACTTTTTAATTATTCCATTTCGTTTTATATTTTCCAACTTAATTTCGCCCTTAATTCTTATAAACGCTTATTTAAAGACTTTATTCTTAAAGCTGAATGTGTTATTACCGTAGGACCATACTATGCCATATAGAGTTAACAATTATGAAAACATAACAATTATAATTATTAGAATGATCAATAAATGTGATCTGAACCTTCACTTGTTTCTATGCAAAATAAACGCTAAAAAGCTATGTGTTTAGCTAAAAATATTTCACTCTTCCGAATTTATGAAGATTAAAATACTCTATCCATACAGTTGAATGCTGCACAAATGTATACAATGCATACAACTACAAAACAGTACAATTTTATGGAATGTCATCCATTTTTATACTCTCAGAAGCGAATTAAAATCAATAAGCATGAGTATGCATAGACACCGCTTTCCGGAAAATTCTTGAAAAGATATCGCCTATACATTAGAGCAGAATAAATAGACTAGCCATCGGACCAACTACTCAAAAAAAAATAAAGGAAACAATATGAACAACAACAACAGTCGCAAACCAGAAAATTTATTTGCATAAACTGAGTCTCGATTTGCAACTGCAATTATCCCAAGCACACTTATTCAGGTTTTAAATGACCACGTCGTGATTTGACTACCTAAGTCAGGCACCCAAAATAGTCATTCTTATGATGTTTATTTCTGAGGTTTGGGTTTAAATTTTTCAGAAAAATGAAAATCAGGAGGTGATCAACGCTTAGCAGACAAACAATCAGTCAACCCATATTTCGGATGATGTAGTTAAAAAATCTAGCAGTTCAATTCAAAATAGGTTTTAATTTTACGCTTGTAACGCTTGAAATTGAAAAAACATTGTTATGTAATGAGTTCGGATGAAATTCAATGTATACATTTAAATCTTTCAGTTTTACTTCTTGAATTGAAAAGAATTTAAAAAGTTTCTATTTGATCTGGTTACATGATAATATCCTTTTCCAGAGTTAATTAAATTTTTTATTAACGAAAATTTTAAGCTACTAAACAAGCGATTAATCATCTGTAATTATCATTACTTCGAAATTGCAAAAAAGTCGATGAAACGCATTTTTGTTATTATTATTATTGCTATT